TTGTATACTGCTAAAGTAAAACTTTGATAATTTGAAAATATTCATAGATATCGTTAAATTTGTATCTAAATATAAAATTACAATGTAAATATTGATTAACTGATTGATTGAAGGAGAAAGGTGTTCGGTGGATATTGATGATTGTGTTGATAAAGTATGTCAGAATGGTGGACGTTGTATAGATCGTGTAAATGGTTATGAATGTAATTGTGAAGGTACAGGTTATCAAGGTATCCATTGCACCGATGATATCAATGAATGTGACTTGGGTATTTGTGTACACGGTAGATGCACTAATTTGATTGGCTCATATAATTGTGATTGTGATATCGGTTAGTTTGTTTAGCAATGAAATATATATATATGTAAAGATATTGAATTATAAAAAATTAGATTGATTTTCAATTGATTATTTTAGGATATATTGGTAAACAATGTACTCTAGAAGATCCATGCATTCCGGATGATCTAAATCGAACAAGACATGATTGCGTGCATGGTACATGCGTGCATCCTACAGTTGGCATAAAAAATAATAAACAGGTGGCAAATTATGAATGCAAATGTGAATTTGGTTATAGCGGAGAGTATTGTATTCATTTAATCGAGAAGAGAAAGTATATGTTTATTTTAGTGCATTTTAATTTCTTATTAATACTAATTGATCTTCAATATTTATGGTTGTTAGTATGGAGAATGAAATTTTATTCTTCGTATTATATTTTAGCTGTATATTTTTGATATATTGTTCCAGAACATTAAGTAGCAACTAATTTTGAATAGTAGCTGAAATTTATGAAATTTTTACGAATTGATTTTTATATTATTTAATTGACCTGAAAGATTATCACGAATTTGATAAATAATAAAGTTTATGAAAATGGTATGATAACTATAACTTGGACTTTTTTTATTAATTCAAGCTATAAAATTTTAGGCCTATTTTATTGGGATACATAGCTGGGCCAATAATAGCCCTTATAATAGCATTGCTTATTATTGGTTTCGTATTACTGACAATAGTAATGATTCGTGGACGACGTGCAACTCAGGGTACCTATAGTCCATCACACCATGAAAATAGTATTTCACGAATGCCGGTTAGATTTAAGTTTGTTTTTTTTTTTGTCCTTATTGCTACTTTTAATTTCATTCCTAAATAGAAAATCAGAAAAGCAATAATTTGAAATACGGAGTAAATTAATTTGTCTGATATTAAAAAATAATGATAATGAAGAAATGATTAAAAAAATCAAATTTATAAAATAGTATTTTATACAAAAGATTATATAACGGTATTTTATATAACAACAGATACTGTTTTTTTCTTTTTCAGATGAATTCAATGCTCACATCTCCACCTGAAGAGAGATTAATATAATAATGATAGAGTAATTATCATGAAAATGATCAGCTTATATCATCATTTCTCTTCATTTTACGGGTTTTGCTATTGTGCCTTCAACTATTCTTCAATTATTTTTTTTCTGTTTTTGTGTACTTATTATTATTCGTGTTCAATCATTTGTCAAATATTCACTGAATATAATTAATAAGCATACTCGCTTATTTAATTAAATACATTTAATAAATTGAATGCAAATAACTGAAAAACTATTAAGAGTGTTAAATTAAAGCACTTTTAAAACTGATATTATTAATCAATCAAGGATCATTCATATGTTATTTGTTTTTTTGTTATTTTTCAATGAAAAGTCATAAAAATATGAATTTGTGCTTTTTAACAGTTTTAAAATTACTCCTTTCTGCTATATCCTTCCATTTAACGATCGGATATATCATTCCACTGATTGTACCTCTTTGGTGATCATCAATGAATAACGTAAGAGTGATGAATAATCACAGGTAAAAGAATTCATTAATGATAAAATTAGGACATTGTATAATTAATGTATAGGAGAAATATCTTGAAAATTTCATGCGAAAAATGGCTTTGACTATCAAATTTCAAATTACTGTAATCGTTTTGCGTTAATAAGTTGTCATTGTGAAAAAAAAAAGTTCCAAAATGATAGCACTGATATATGAATTTATTGAAGCAGATGTATTTCAGGTAAAGAAAAAACCTTTTTTAAATATAATATTTCTTATGCTACTTTTTTGCATTGAAATAACTTAAAAAATCTTTAATTCAAAAATGAAGCGCAGTGACATTTACGCATTACGTTTGCATTGTATGCATGCATGCATGCATGCATTAGCACCACTTCATATCAGTTGAAAAGAGATGAAGTCAAACAAACAACTGGAATATACATTTATTTCTTTTCTTCCTTTTCTTGCAAATTCTTAGAATGATCTGACCTTTCTTTATCATCTACCATTATGTGCACTTCTCAAACTCTTCCCGAACTTTCAGTATTGAAATTAAGGTGATTCTATTAAATCATTATTGATCATTTCTGTTTACTCGCATTATTGCAATGAAGAATTTTATCAGTTTCATTCTAAATGAGTGTAGCAAAGGTCATAGAATTAACTTTTAGTCCAAGCAACTTTCCGGGCTCTTCACAATCCCAATTTCTAACATGAAAGATTTTCTATCTGCAACCAGTATATTTGATTTGTCATATATTAATTTTCGATTAGTATCATTTCTTCTATTTTTTCTGAACATTTTAAGTCTACTTGGAAAATCTTCTAAAACTATAATGATTACACTGAAATTATGTTTTTACATCATAAAATCATGAAAGTATTGTTTGATTAACAATTTAGAAACATTACAGCGCAAATATCATCCGCTGATGATTAATAAATACTTTGATATTTTGCTGAGTACTTTCAATGCACCGAGTGCATTATCCATTGTGATAGATGATTGCATTTATATGATAACAAAATAAGATTTTTTGCATTTATATGATAACATTTTTGCACTTGCATGATAACAATTTTTCTTAATTAGTTATTAATTAATTACCTCAATGAAAATTTTTTTCATTTTTAAAGAGTAATAAATGCAATGTTCCAAACAAAATAGTTCCATTTTTCTTCAAATTAATCATTTAATGTTGACGTTCACTGATTGAATTACAATTTTGAAATCAAAATATCGGTTGAATTTTCATGCAGTTTTAATATCACTAAAGAAATGTTAATTATGTCACTATTAATAGCAGCAAGAACAGGTAAGCACCAACAACATATATACCCCTAGCAATTCAGTAGAGATGAAAACTCACGCTGAATTAATTCAAATGAAGTTAATAATTTGATGATTAATTAATGATTAATAAGTGTGTATACACTTCTAGCAACAATTCAGTGGAGATGAAAACTTATGCTCTGTCATGCTGAACTAATTTAAATGAACTAATAATTTAGTGATTAATTAATGATTAATATATAAATCATATAGAAATGGGTTTGAATCGATCATAAATAAAATGATATTGGAATTTAGTGAGAATGATTGAGATTGTTCATAATTGAATGATTAATATATCACTGAGTAACAATTCATGAAGATTTCATGAGACGATTCAGAATAAGAAGTAATTTTCGTGCAGTATCTTCAGGGTCAAAAATGACATTACCGTTACACAACAAATTACTCCAACCTGCCAAATGATTTCATTATTAGCACGTTGTGCTTTTGATGTTCGATTGATTTTTCTGATTTTTGTTACAGCAGTAGAAATTGGCTGTGAATGATTTATCATCCTTAAATATCATCTTATTTTATTGTCTTGTTAGTGTAAATTTTAATTAAAATTGAAGTTAAATATGAAATTGGATTAGAAAAAATATTTTTTTGGATTTTTTTGCTAATCAAATATACATCTTTTTTTTTTCGATTTCACTCTAAATGTTCTCGATATTTGTTGTTGATGAAAAATTACATTAAACCGATGAAATGTTTTAACATTCTATGTTATATGACAAATTAATGAAATAGTATGGAATACTTCAAAATGCACTTCGTCATATAAAGTACCGCGAGAATTGATATTGCAATTAAAAATTTAATTTCATTACTTCATTTAAAATATTCGAGATTTAGCATTTAATTAAGCGAAATGTTAACAGAAACAATCGAATAGCTCACTTATCTGTTGATTTAAACGATCGGATCGTTGAATTTATTTCACTTTGACGGCATACTTTCTCCGATATGAGGACAATCTGATGAGTTGGGATATTGTCCAATGTGGTACAAATATGACCCAAATTTGGTTTCACTAAATTCATCGAGATATAAGGATAACATTTTTTTTCAAATTTCAATACTATTTTACAATTGATTTATTTGCATTTCATTTTTTAACTAAATTTTCAATTTGGTATCAAATATTGGATTCCTAAAAAGAAATTTCCAACAGTAGATAAATGAATAACTCAAAGTGATGACTCATTCATTTTGTTTTTCCATCATTTAGCACTATCAAATTATTTAAAAAAAAACGTAAACTTTTAAATTGTAAAAATTAGCATCTTAAAATTACAATTTACCGATGTATTTTGCAATATTTTCGGCAATCAGTTTTCCAGTTTCTGTATAAATTCGAATGTTTATGAGCAATTTAGCAGATTCAACTTTATTCCAATTTGAACAATATTTCGGTAGTTGCCAAAAAAGCATGCATTTGACACTTTTAAACGCTGGCACCAGTCCACTTCCGCTAGGTAAGGCCTATAAATAAAATATTTAGCGGATTGAAAGTTTATATTAGAAAAAAAATTTGCATGTTAAAAATATTTTCAACTAACCGTAATGCATTTATTATTAGTCTTTAATTTCCAAATAATCTGTCGTTTGCTATTATTAACAAGTTTGAGTTGAACGTATGCAACATTTTCATGGAAACGATCTAGCGCAAAATTGATCATACTGTAAATGCAAATTTATTCATCCTTTTTTTATTGCAATTACAAGCTAATATGTTATTTAAAATGCTAGTACAAATATTGCCTTAATACATTACTTAATTTATAATTGAAAAAAAGTATCTAAGATTATAAGCTGGAATTTTTGCAGAATTATAATAATGTGAAATTTACGAATATTGAGGTGTTAGCTTATTGAATAGCTGCAATTCGCTATTGTTACCACTGCTGAAATTTATCGTTTTGTAAATTTTTGAAATTTGAAGATTTTTGAATTTGAGATATTTTTAGATTTACTTATTTTATTTTCTTTCGAATAATTTTTCATAACTTTAATTTAATGTGCAACTAATTCATAGCTGTAAAATATATAAATGTAAAATGCGAAAAAGGTGACAAAAATTGACTGCCACAACTTTTCAGTAACTTCGAGCGCTGTTTGCAACGATAAGTGTGATGATGATGATTGAACATCGTTTTTTAATAATGCCGCTGCTTCCTCAGAACCAAAAATTAAATTATGTATCGGTGGATTCTCCGGTGTGCAAAATTCATTCTTATCTAATTGTGCTATAAGACAATCTTTTTATTAAATAATTTTTAAATTTTGAATATTTTATTTTGCTTAATTCATACAATTTTCACCTTTTAATTAATAAAAAAGGGAAATGAAAAAAAAAAAAACGACGGCTTATTTTAAATGTATGTTATGTAAATTTCACATACTGTTTATTTGTAAAGATGTAGCATAACGAACTAACTATTAAAGTTAATAACCTAAAAATTTGATATTAGCTGCTCCGATGAAGCAATCATTATTTGCGAAAAGTTGAAGAGAAAAGAGTAATTTAGCAGATTCCATTTGATTCCATGTTTCGATGTCATTGGGACGAATCCACGATAACATGCATTTTTCTTCACAATTCGAAGCAATTTGTCCATTGCCAGATGGAAATGCCTTTGAAATTTTCAATTTCATTTACTAACAATAAACTTCATAATTTTTTTCTAAAATTTTTTTATTTTCATTTTTATTTTTGCAATTTTCTGATTTCTCAAATAATAAAGGGTAAAAAAGAGAAAGAATAAAATGGAAATGAATAAATTTGAATCAATCCAATTATTATTCAACCCAAAAAAAAGAAGCTTTACTGTAATTGCTGCTGTTGTGCAATGTAATTTCCACTCGATCAAATTTGGTGTATTGTTAATTAATGAGAGGAGAATGTGTGCAGTTCGATCATTATTCCATTCACATGCAAATTTAACAGTGCTAAAATTCTGCTATCACTAATCGTACATGCTAATTTTAAAGTGCTAAAACTTTTGCTACTACCAATGATAAAAACATTATTGTCACGTTATTTATAATTCATAAGTGTTTCGTTATTTTTTGAATATTTCAAATCATTCTTGAGATGTATTTCTTGACATTTGTTTGAGTATGTAAAATTTGACCTCAAGACTGGAATAAACATGATATGAGGGTTTCATCCAAGCAACAATTTTTTCCATTTTCATTTATATGTTTGAAAAAATTAGCTCAAATTAAAATTTCAAAAAACAATTGTACCATTCCTTTTCAATTGATACAATTTCATAATTTGATAGCTCTCTGACTGACGACAAATCATAACTTTCCAAAGCTATCTCATTAATCTTCTCGAAGTGTGTCCTGCAATTTATGAATTGCTATTTCATTCCGCATCTTTAGCTTGTAAGTGTTAATTAAAAGACATCTCGGAAGAGAATTTGTCCTTCTGGTTGCAATTTTTGCTAATTAATATTTACACCTTGCTAACATTCTTCAAACACGAAATGAACTTAATACTTACGTCTTTACCTAATTACAAGCTAAAAATATGATAATCTGAATTGTTGAATATTATTGCATTCATTTGACTTGAAAAAAAAACATAGTTCAATTACAGTTTGGTTTTATTAATGACTTTTGAAATTGAAAATAAACGCACACAACATTAGCCATTATTCGAGCTTACTGAAAATAATACAAACCTCCTTGCTCGCACACCGATAAATAAAACAATCTAAGTCATTTTCCAATTTTTTTTTATTTTCTAAATATTCAAGAGAAAAAATTCAGCGTATAAATATGCAAATTTCACATTTCTAAATATAAGAATACAGTTAAGATTTCACTTTACAAATAAGTTTTCATTTAAAAAATCTCAGAAAACGATATGCCAACTAGAAATTTTCTATTTATTCCTCACATTTTCTCATTATTTGATCGGTAAAAATGCTACGGATACTTTTAAAGAGTTACTTTTAGTCAGTAAATCAAATCGGTTATTTCAAAATTACTTGCTTTAATCAATAATTGTTTAAATATTCATATCGAGCTAGTATTCATCTGGTTCATTTTATCAAGGTATTCTAACATAAACTTCTTGGAGTTTACCGGATGTAATGTTAATGTTCAATAATAAGTGAAAATAATTTGCAAGTATTTATGATTGCTGTTTTACCAAACTACTGATTCAAGTATAAAAGTATATACAATAGGTATATACTTTTACACTTGAATCAGTAGTTTGGTAAAATATATATA